GTCGATGACAGCAAGGTGGAAGCCGTTCGTGCTTGGCCTACGCCTACTACTTTCACTGAGGCTCGCAGCTTTCATGGCTTGGCTTCGTTCTATCGCCGGTTCATTTCCCATTTCAGTTATATCATGGCTCCGATCACGAGCTGTCTCACCGGAAAGACTTTTATTTGGACAGCAGCAGCCGAGGAGGCCTTTGCTCTCATTAAGAGCAAGTTGACACACGCTCCGGTGCTCGTTTTACCGGACTTTTCGAGACCCTTTGAGCTCTCCTGCGACGCCTCTAAGGTGGGTATTGGTGCTGTCCTTAGCCAGGACGAACGTCCGGTGTCCTTTCTCAGTGAGAAGTTGTCGGGCTCCCGACTGCGTTATAGCACGTATGATGTTGAATTTTATGCCGTGGTGCGTGCTGTGCGACATTGGCGACACTATCTTTTCCATCGGGAGTTTGTTTTGTACACCGATCACGAGGCTCTTCGCCATCTTGCCTCCCAGGATAATATTTCGGCCCGACATGCTTCGTGGACATCATTCCTTCAGCAGTTCACATTTGTTCTTCGACACCGGTCAGGCGCCTCGAACAGGGTGGCCGATGATTTGAGCCGTCGGGTGTTATTATTATCGGAGCTGCGCGTGTCCGTGATTGGCTTTGAGGTTCTTCGTGACGTCTATCCTACTGACTCTTTCTTTGGCCCCATTTTGACACGCTTGCGGGATGGCCATTATGAGGATTACACTCTCACTGATGGTTTTTTATTTCGGGGAGTTCGTCTGTGTGTTCCGGACTGCAGTTTGCGCCAGAAGCTTATTGCTGATCTTCATGGCACCGGTCATGTGGGTCGCGACCGGTCCGTCGAGTTGGTGAGTCGGTCTTATTTTTGGCCTTCTTTACGCCGTGACGTTGGGCGGTTTGTGTCTCGTTGTAGGGTCTGCCAGTTATCGAAGGGTGTTGCCACGAATGCAGGTTTATACCGTCCCCTTCCTATTCCGTCGCATCCATGGCAGACGATCAGCATGGACTTCGTGTTGGGCTTACCTCGTACTCAGAGGGGTTTTGATTCGATTTTTGTTGTGGTGGATAGATTATCGAAGATGGCTCACTTCATTCCGTGTAAACGGACCACGGATGCTGTTCATGTGGCCCAGTTGTTTTTTCGGGAGATCTACCGCCTTCATGGCCTGCCTTCGGCGATTGTCTCTGATCGCGATACCCGCTTTTTGAGCTATTTTTGGAGGAGTTTGTGGCGTATGGCTGACACTAGGCTCGACTTCAGCAGTGCCTATCATCCTCAGACAGATGGACAGACGGAGGTGGTGAATCGTTCCTTGGGGAACCTGCTTCGTTGTTTAGTGGGGGATAACATTCGCAGTTGGGACCAGCGCCTGAGTCAGGCAGAGTTCGCGCATAATTCGGCTCTTAGTCGTGCGACTGGGTTCACTCCTTTTATGGTTGTGTACGGCTTTATTCCGCGTGGGCCGTTCGGCTTGGTGACATTGCCGTCTGGCAACAGTGGCGATCGGCGTGCGTCGGATTTCATTGCTGATGTGCAGAACACGGACAAGGCAGCCCGGGCCCGTTTGGAGGCGACTACGGCTTCTTATAAGAAGCATGCTGATACTCGTCGTCGCCACGTGGAGTTCGAGGTCGGTGATTTTGTTTGGGCTGTCTGGACGAAGGATAGGTTTTCTGCTCATGAATATAATAAATTGTCGGCTCGCAAAATTGGTCCGGTTGAGGTTGTCGAGAAGATCAATCTCAACGCCTACCGTCTGAAGCTCCCGTCGCATATTCGCACCTCCGACGTTTTTAACGTCAAACATTTGGTGCCGTTCGAGGGTGACAACTCAGACGGAGACGAGGCCTATTTGGATTCGAGGGCGAATCGTCTTCAACCCGGGGAGGATGATGGAGACGAGGCCGCTTTGGCATTTCTGCAGAAATATGACCGTCTTTGGGCTTAGGCTATTTATTTTCCGGTTTTATCAGTTATCAGTTTATTAGTTATTATGGTTTTTATTTATGTTATTTTATTATTGGAGCAGTTAATTAAGTAATTAGGAAGTTGAAGAGTAGTGGGCTCTTCCTACATGTACCCACTCCCTGAACAGTTGTTTTTCATTATCGTATTATTCTGAGAAAAGAAATATGTTCTTGTGTTCTTATTTCCCTTTCGAATACATCCTCTGCATCAGAAAGGAATCTTGATGATGGTTGCAGGGACTGCATATGCCCATGCTGGAAAAAAGTATAAGTCTCGCTGTTTGTAGAATGCTGGAAGCTTAGCAACCATCATCGAGAGATGTGGGATGCCATTAACCGTAAAGACCATAAAAGAATAAAACAGAGCCCCCATGTAGTTGTTGGCATGCACGGGGTCCACCCCCATCTGTGTCCTCAGAAACAAAGTCATGCTCAAAATTGCAACGATGATGAGCTGGACAAAAAGAACCATTATCTGATATTCCTTATGAAAATCAAACAAGTAGGAGTAGTTTTGAAAAGACCTGAATAGATTTGAATAAGTACACGAACAAATTCCTTTTCACTAAAAGGTACTCTCGGTACATGCATGCCTTGAAAAGGGTCCATTTGGACACAGGCTGTGCTTTGAAACTAATTGCGTTCTCTTGGCCCCTCGACTTATCGAAAGGCACAGAGAGTTCCTCCGCTACCCTCTTCCCGTGAAGGGACTCTTTATATTTTTCTAAAAAAGCGTTAATCGACACGCAACTGTAAGGGTGTTGTGACTGATGCCAGTATTTCTCCTGATCCTTTCTCGAGATAACCTGCAAAAACCACTAGAAGCTTATTTTGGCTCTTTCTTTACTTCTTTTATAAAATAGTCTCATCTTGTGCTTGCCTCTTGGAGAAAGATGGCCACCCCTTTCATGTCGGGGCACTTGAATCCATAGCTTGTGAAAAACTCTACAACGTCTTGCTTAGGCCCATGGTAGATGATTTTGCCCTCCGCCATCAACATCACGTCGTCAAAGAGATAAAATGTCTCTGGGGCCGGCTGAAGGAGTGAGATAACAACAGTGGCATCCGTGATGTGTGCTAGCTGGCGGAGACAACATACGATCTGATACGTGGTCAAGCTGTCTAGTCCATTTGAGATCGCATCCATGAATAAAGCATTTGTGGGTTCCACCATCATCTCGGCTGCACAAATCTCGCTCTCTCACTTATTGCTAATAAACAAAAAACAGAAGAAGAAGAAGAAGAAGAAGAAGAAGAAGAAGAAGAAGAAGAAGAAGAAGAAGAAGAAGAAGAAGAAGAAGAAGAAGAAGAAGAAGAAGAAGAAGAAGAAGAAGAAAACAAAACGAAACTACATCTGTACCTGTTGTGAGTCTCTTCTTCTGACAAAGAACAAGAACAAGAAAACAAAACGAAACTACATCTGTACCTGTTGTGAGTCTCTTCTTCTGACCACCAGAAATGCATGCAATGGGTGTATCGGCACAGATATCGAGGCCTAGGATCTGAAACAAAAAATGCAACAAACTGTCAAAGTAAGGTAAAAAACTGAATTCTAATTTATACTCTTTATCGTTGAAAATTACTTTCAATATGTAGTCGGTCTGAAGAGTAGTCTTTTGTCCTCGCACAGAAATTGCCTACAGGAAAAAAGATGGCACGACTAAAGTTATTTTATATACAATCAACCAATAGATTTTCAGGAAATTACCTTCATATATGTATCTATCTGTGCATCGGGAACGATTCCTGCTGCTCTCTCCCGCCTCATGACCTCAGCCAATATTTCTTTAGACAAAAGAGAGGCGATAACAATGACATATATAGATAAATATATTGTTTTTGGTTTGTTTGATTTAAGTGGTGTGCAAACATACATACATACATACATACATACATACATACATACATACATACATACATACATACATACATACATACATACATACATACATACCTGGTCTGTTGCCTACACCCTGGCACTCAGATGAGAAATCGCTTGTTTCTCTTACAGTCATTTCGAGAACATGAATATCATATTGGCTAATGTAAGACGATGTTTTCTGTGGCACAAATTCCCCGAGTTTATATCCATTGTATGTTACCTCTCCACTTACCTGTTCATGTTTTTCAAGCAAATCAAAAGTAAATAAGTGAACAAACAGAAATGAGGTAAATGGAAAAAAAAATCTTTATAAAGAAAGACCTTAAGTGATTTGTCCAAGTTCTCGGATAAAGCTTTCAATAGTGTAGTCTTCACGCATCCTGGAGGACCAAGTAATAGGGTCATCCTGCAACCAATAACCATGTAATTTGATTAGATACATAATAATAATAGTAATAATAATAATAATAATAATGGCTTCAAGTAAACAACATATAATTTTGTTGAAGAGCTGGAATGAGTAAAACTAGAGTGCGTGCCGGTCCAACGATAATGTGGAGACTTTCAACGTAAAATTTGTTCATACCTCACACCATTTGTACAACAAAGATTCAATGATAATGTGGAGACTTCTAACGTACATTTTATTCATAACTCACAGCATAAGGAACATACAATTTTAAGAGCTCGACTCTAATAATTCAAAATAAACAATGTTAAAGATTTGGATGATCAGCTTAGCATAGCTTATTAAAGACAAGAAAGAAAGTAGTAGAATTTACCTAGCAGGCTTAATGATACCACTAACATCGTCGACTACGTGTAGCTGGCCCTCTTTCATCGGTAAACCAGGCAACCTGGTGAGAGTTTGTTCAACACAATTAATTCTACTCATTCAATATAGGCAAAAGAGACAACACAATGGATTTTCCACAATTGTACCACTAACTTAGTTAGAAACTTTGAAAAACTTTTAAAGTAAGTGCATTTTGTGGACTTCAGGAAACTTTAATGACTTTGGCTGGCGGAATTTCTGAAATTTTCATTGAATTCTTCTTAGAGACTTTAAAAATTTAATGTACTTTTTGAAACTTATTGAGACTTTTATATACTTGTAGTATAACTATTGCGTTTGAATGAAATATTCATAAATTTAGGCATCATAATCAATATCACCAAAACCAAGCCTGTTTTTTTTAAAAAAAAAAAAATACTTAGCTGAAATGAGTTCTCATAGTAAACACCAACTATTCAACATGATGAAAAAAAAAAAAAATTGCAGCATTACAACTGTGTAAATAAAAGATGAATAAATAATACTATAAAAAATATGAATCAACCATAAATTTGTTGTTCGAACTAAGTTATTTGCGAACAAAACACAGTTATTCTCGTAAAAGCTCAAGCTCGACTAATTTGTTTTGTTTAATGAATTGAGCTTGAATAACTAATCGAGGTTGTTTATTAAACGAACCAAAATGAGTTTGTTTATGAACTACTCATTTCTTGATTACTTATTTTTCATATAATACATGATCTTGTCGAACTTGTTTGCATATACATTCTTTATTACGAACAAATCATTTAGGGTTTTAGTTTTATTAAACAAGTCAAGTCGGCCAGGGATTTCACGAGCTTCAATGAGTCGGCTTTGAGTTGTGCCTTATATTCTTTTATTAAACAAGCACAAACTCAAACAACAGTTACTCGTCTCAAATAGAATTACACTCACAGCTAACCCGATTATGACATATTTATGTGATTACTTTTTAACTTTTTTTATTGCATCATATTGCAGTATTAGAAAATTATTATTAAGATATATTTTTACAAGACAAAAACATTTTCAAAAGACAGTGATGAAAGTGAAATTCTTAGCAGGTGCAAACTATATAAATACTTTATTTTTAAAATGTTAAATTCACCAGTAAGCAAACGAGAGCATAAAAGTAAACATACAATAAAATATTTATAATAAAAACTAAATAAAAGGATCACATTAAGCATTAGTGATGAACAACAAGTTATACAAGAGTAAAATAACTGAGTATGAAAGTAATATGAGATATATATAGTTGTGTACATTAAACCCTATAAAAATAAAGGTTGACGAAGCACATAAGTCTAGCAAAATCTCACCAATTTGATAAGGTTTCTACTAGGACTTTGTCTTTGTAATTTATTAAAAATGTTTTCAAAAGTATCTCACAAATTCTTCTACTTTGAATTTAAGTGACTTATAGGGACTCATTGAAAATTTCAAGGTATTTTAAAAATTTATAAAAAAAAAAAAATTTAAAAGTTTCAAGTTGAATACCAGTAAACTTTAAAAGTCTCAAAAAAATTTAATTGAATACGTCAATATTCTAAAAGATTTTAAAAGTCTTTTAAAGTTGTAATTGAATACACCCTCCTAAATATCATCTCTTTCAGACATTAAGTTCATTAATTATAGGGGAAAATCGTGTAATTAGACGTGGCCAGGTGCCGGGTCCGGGCCCGGCCCGGCCCGGCCCGCCGGGCCAC